TCTGGCACAGTGTGACTGGTTGTCCGCCTACTGAGACGCTGACCCGCTTGGCCAATGATTCATGATTCAGTCTAAGTTGAACATCGGAGCGTCTCGATGGATGTGATTTTGATATCGCCATAAGGACACATACTCGTGTGGTTGAAGAGACTTCTTTACACCCGGAACTAGGCTTGACAAACGCCCTGGTTAGAATGAAGTCTGTGTCATGCGCCCTCACACTCGCTTTTGTCAACCGAGGGCGCAAGATTGTGTGTGCGTGGGTGAGTATGCGAGCTGCGTCATCAACTAACGACTGATGCCCATCTCCCGCATCTCATTAGTGTGGTGATGGTAAGGGAAGGAATGAGGGAGGGTGTTAGCTCTTTCTGGGAATTCGGTTCCACACAAGGCTGAGCAACAGTGTGATTGGTGTTGGATCCGCTCCTCTTTAATTTTAATTCCTGTTTTGATTACTTGAGGACACAGAGGCAATCTAATGCATCCACTGATGTGGGACTATGTCTGGTGACGATTTTAGAGAATGTGGCAAGTGGGTGGAGAGTCATAACAGCTTGTCTTGTTTTTATGAGTCATCCGTGACGCTTTCGGTCATGACACCTTTCAGTGAGCACTTCCCATGGGATTCGTTTCTGCGCCTCAAATGCATTCCTCACTCTGCTCTCCCACCCACCTTAGTAGCTGTCGCGTTTCATTGTCATCACCTTCACGACTGTCGGTCGGTGTTTTTCACCTTTCAAGGTGTCTCCATTCGACTTATTGGAGGTAGCTGGGGGCATCACGGCCCCATCCAACCATCCATTCATTAAATCCTCGCTACAGAAGAGATATTATTAAAAACTAGACCACATCGACTTAGCTTTGAGAGCGAAAAGTTCCAAAATGGGTGAGGTTGTGCAACGATGTGAGATGTGCTGTGCCGAACTGTTTACGCTCTGACTCTGGTGTGTGTGTGTGGCAGGATAGAGGTGGCAAAAGTTAGCCTAGAGGTCATATGATACTCCTTTTTTCAAACCCTCTCCCTTTATACCTCCATGGTTTGTGTTTAACTTAGCTTATCCTAATTTAATTTACAACTCTGCTAAGGCATGCTCTCTTTTTTTTTGTTCCAAAATGCGACTTTTTAAATTGTATTTTGGGGCCTAACGCAACTTGGGAAGTTTTCCTCGATTGCTGATTAATCCATTGGATCGAAGGTTGTCTCAATGACGTTAGGGTTTGGGTGGACTCTGCCCTTCTTTCGAAATAGATGTAGGTGTACTCGATCAGGGTGCAGCATCTATTCCCAAAGC